GACGGGACTCGAACCCGCGTCCCTGGGCTGGCAGCCCAGCATTTTACCACTCAACTACACTCGCAATAGTCAGCATAGTTAATGTATAAGTATTATTGTATTTTTCGTAATTTAATCAAATCCCAAATAATACAGCAAAACAACCAAAAAAAACGATTTGGAAGAAAAAACGCTTTAAAATAGAAGTCCATTATGAGTGATATAAGAAAAATAGAACTTAAAAATTGTTTAGGTAAAAACATCAGAAATGAATATCCAAATCTTAATCCCCGCGAAAGAGTGAGTGTTTTTAAACAAGCCCAAAAGGAACTAGAAGATTTTTACAAGATGTGGTTTGCAGTTTTTCCAAAAGAAGAAAAAAGGAAATGAAAAGAAGATGCGGAAAGATTTATTAATAAGAGGGAAGAATTTTTTTCCAGAATCGTTGATTACATATTAGAAAACTGGAATGAAATTATAAATAGGTGCTACGAAAATTCGTGATCCGCAATTGAAAATCTAAAAGCCTTACTTTTTAATCTGCAAATCTTTACGAAAACTAGCGAGAGAGGAGAAAGTGAGTTGGAAATGGTAATGTTTATTCTTTATAAAAAAAGAAAACAAGAAATCGACTATTTAATCAAAGAAACAGAGAGAAGAATAGAATTGGAGAATGCACTAAAAAGCAAAAACACTGATGGGTTAGTTGCTTTGAAAAATAGAATAATTAAATCCGAAAAAGATGTAGTTGAATCAAAAGCAGAAAAAGAACAATGTAGTAAAGAACTGATTGCTTTGAAGGAAACAAATAAAGAATTATGAAGCCAATTAAAAAAGTCAGAAAGTGCTAATTTCGCCTTGTGATGTTTTTTGGTAGTTAATTTAACAATAATAGCCGGTTTGACTATTACCTTGGCTCGCCAATGCTTAAAAAAACCACTTCCCTCAAAATCGGGCAAAAAAAACCCTAAATCAACTGGGGGAAGAAAGAAAAAAAGTTAGACTATAATCTAACTTGATTAGCGGATTATTAGTGTGAATAAAAGAGGGTTTATTTTACACGAGCAAAGGAAAGAAGTTAGTAAAATCAATAGGGTGAATGATTGAGTAATTTTATTTTTCTTTTTTTGTCAGACGAGAAAGTGCGGCTTTTTTGCCTGCTAATCCGGACTACAATGCCGATTACTCAGGAAGTAAAGCGGGTGAGGATTCTGCTTTCGGTCAATCACTTTTACTAATAGAGCCTTCCTCAAAATAATTTCACATTTCCTCGGCCAGATGGGGAGCCAAAGGACTTAATAATTTTAAAAAGCCAATTCAGTAATCAAGTTTCATAAACTTATGTTTAGCTTCATAACACTGGTTAATAAAAGTCATGAGCGAAGCAATAACCAAATTTAGTTTAAGCTTGTGGTAATAATCCGTTGCCTTGTTAACCATTTGGTGGTAATGAGGGCTGATTTCTTCGTTTTCGGTATTGAGAAGAATTGTTTCTCGGTAACTGACAAAAAAATTGTAGACTCGATTTAGCCATTTTTTCATGGCCCACACGCTTTTAATATTAAAATTAGTGGTTTGTTCGGGTGGTCCTAAAAATATTTCGGCTAGCCGAAGAGCATCGGCCCCGTATTTTTCTACTAATTTGTCTGGACTAACCACATTGCCTCGCGATTTTGACATTTTTTCGCCATCCGTCCCCAAAATTACTCCTTGACAAAGTAATTTTTGGAAAGGTTCGGGTTGAGAAACCACACCAATTTTGTATAAAATCTTGTGCCAAAAACGTGCGTAAAGTAAATGCAAATTAGCGTGCTCTTGACCACCAATATAAATGTCTACTGGCAACCAGTTTTTTATAATTTCCTGGGTTTCGAGACTATTAAGAGGCAGATAGTTCTCTTTTTCGTTGCCACCAGAAGAATTTTTTAGCAAAAATGCAATATAATATCAACAAGAACCCGCTCACTGGGGCATGACATTCACGTCTCTTTTTCCTTTTAAACCGCTTTTATTTTCGACGTTTACTCAATTTTCCGCTTTTTGGAGAGGCGAATAATAACGAGAATTAGGAGTGAAATCATTTAGAGGAGGGAGAATTAAGGGTAAATCTTTTTCGGGCAAAAGTTCTTTTTGATTGTTTTCTCAATGAATAACTGGAATAGGTTCGCCTCAATAGCGTTGGCGGGAAAAAATTCAGTCTTTTAAGTGGTAAATTTCGGTTCTTTTACCAACTTGTTTTTTTTCTAATTTTTGGTTAATGATTTCTATAGCTTCGTTTTTGTCTTCTTTAGTAAGGAGAAAATTGGTTTTTTTGCCAAATTCTTCACAATGACAATAGTCAGTGGCACAATCAAGTCAACCTTTTGGTTTATGAAGTAAGCATCGGGAGCAAGTTTCTCGGTAATATCAATAAGTTTCTTCGCTCCCGCATTCTTTTTGATAAAAGTCTACAACTCCTCACCACGATAACCCGTATTTTTCCGCAAAAGCAAAGTCTATTTCCTTATTTTGTTTTTTCTCTTGCTCGGTAAACAATTTTTCTTGGTTTAGGAGCTTTATTTTTCAGGCTTTTTCTCAGGAAAAATAAGGAGCAATCATAACTGCTCCGGTTCCATAATCATTAATTACAAAATTAGTAACTCAAATTGGTATTTTTTCTTTGCTTAACGGATTAAAACAATAACTTCCCGTAAACTCGCCTGCAATTTCTTTGCTTTCTTTTTTGTCTTTTCAATATTCGCAAAAATCAGCAATTTTTTTTTGATATTCAAACAAAGTAATTTCCGAAATTAAAGGGTGATTAATTGACAAAGCGATTGCTACCACTCCATAAATAGTATCGGGACGGGTAGTAAAAACGGGAATAGTCATTTTTTTTTCGGCTAGTGAAAAATTAATAATCGTTCCTCTCGATAAACCGATCCAATTTCTTTGTAAACTTTTGATACTGTTCGGTCAATCTAACTTTGCTAAATCCTCTAATAATTGCGGAGCATATTGAGTAATTTTCAAAACTCATTGCGGAATAGATTTTTGAAAAACTGGGTAAGAACCCCGCTCGGAAACTTTTCGCCCGCCCACTAACTTAATTTCTTCGTTCGCTAACACCGTGCCTAATTCCTCACACCAGTAAACCGGAACCTGCTTGTATTCGGCTAAACCTTGCTGGTAAATTTGGCAAAAAATCCATTGGGTCCATTGATAATAAGCTGGCTCACTCGTATTAATTTCCTTACTCCAATCATAAGAAAACCCCATTTTTAGCAATTGTTCTTTAAATTTTTTAATATTATCCTGCGTAAAAGTTGCGGGGTGATTGCCGGTTTGTATTGCGTATTGCTCGGCTGGTAAACCAAAAGCGTCCCAACCAATCGGCATTAACACTTTATAACCTTTCAATCGGTAAAACCGAGCCAAAGCGTCCGCAATTGTATAATTCCGAATATGTCCCACGTGTAAACCGCTCCCACTCGGATAAGGAAACATGGCTAAAATGTATTTTTTTGGTCGGGAATTATCCCGCAAATCCGTCCAAAAAGTCTGATTTTTGGCTCAATATTCTTGTCATTTTTTTTCTACTAACTGATGGGAGTAAGACATTATTGTTTTTTTTATTTGGATGAAATTTCAGATAAATATCTTCCTTTGACACTTTAAAAAGCCTTAATATTTCAAATTTTTACTTACTTATTCAAGAAATTACCTTCATTGATTCTTGCTTCCTTCTCTTGTTCGTAAGTTTCTTGTTCGGCAGACTTTCTTTGTTGTCTTACTTTGAAACTACAATCACTGCACACTCACTGGTTTTGAACATTTTCAAAAACAAAAGAGAACAAAATTATATCTTGCTCACTCTCTATTCTTCCGCCCCTCTGTTTTTCGAATTTACAATTATCACAACCTTTTATCTTTTAAATAAATCTCCTAGTTTGATCTTTCTCTTTAATTTACGACACAAGGGCATGAAAAACAACAAGCCCTACCTGCCGTTGAAACAATTTGCTTTTTTCTGCAAAGCAGACATTCTTATTCCCTGATTTGCATTGATTTTTTGACTATTGATGCTGACATGATGTCATTGTGATAACACACAAGAATATGTCATGAAATTAAAAGGATGATAAGTTTTACAACTTATTAATTTATTTTACTAACTTTCGGTGCTTGGATTTTCTTTTAAAATTGGTGAAAAAGATTTTTTGGCTGATCTTTGATTTTTAGTAAGCATTGCCAGTATTTTCTCTTTCCAGAAAAATAGTAGAGTTTGGAAGAATAAGAGGAGCGAGAAAATTACCATTGCCGGGCAAACTCATCATGGTGTTTGCTTAACTACTTTATTTTTAACAACTATGACTTTTTTCTCAACTACTTTGACCACTTTCTTAGTAACCGGAGTTGATTTTTTCTTTTCCCTGTGATCGTTTAGTTTGCTTAACTTCTTTCTTGTTTTTACAGTTTGTCGTTTGAGAATATCTCGACGGATTTTTTTTGAATTTATTTCTAAGTTTTTCAATTTTCCTGCGGAACTTTGGCTAGTCGGTTCCACTGCGGTTCGTTGCAAAAATTCTATTTTATTTTCGATTTCGGCAAGTTTGTTGACTAGGCGGGAATTCCAACTCGCTACCGCATTTTTTCTAGTGATAAGCGGGCTATCTAACCATTCCTTTAATCTCTTCTCGATATTTGCCAATTCTTCATAATCATTACCTTCGCAGGTAAGAATTTGGTCTAATTCTTGAAAAGCATCGTAATAGTCTTGGAGATTTTGACAAACATTTTTTATTAATGAATAGTTTTTCTGACTACTCCAAATTTCTTTTTGAATAGCACCATCTTCGTCATTTGTAAATTGTTTGGGGCTTAATTCTTGTTGAAGAATTTTAATTTGAGAAGGGTCGCTAATGACTTTCGCTTGCCTATTTAACAAATTATTGAGTTGGTTCTGCCAGTGAATTTTTTGATGATTAATTTTTTCTTCATTCTGGACTTGTTCTTTTTCGGCAATTTTGGCCCTAATTTCGGCTATTCTTGCCGTAATCTTTGTGGCAAAAATCGTAGTGGTTTGGTTATCAACAAGTGTTTGATTGTAGTTTTTTCATTGTTTTAAATCAACGATAATTTTTTGTAATTGTTCTGGATTTTCGCTATCCTTTTCTAATAAACTATCTAGCTCATTATGAAATTCAAGCCAGGTTTCTAAAAATTCCAAATTAAATTTAATCTCGAACCGACTTTCCATCCAGACCATTTTTTCCTCTTCATTAACAAATTCTTGCTTATTCAATTCAGCAATTAGATTTTTAATCCTACCCGCACTCTGGGTGACCTCATCAATGTTTTCTTTTCCCAACAATTCTTTCAGGTTAATTTGAGCTCAGGTTCTTCTAATGCGGTGGGGGTTTTGTTCGCTCTCACGAGCATTAATTCAATAGGGGTTATTGCTTTCTTGCCAAGCAGTTAAATTACCTAAATATCTTTTCACATCACCAATCGGATTTTTAGATTGGATAGCCAGACTGGCTGCTTGGAATAAACCTTCTAAATCACAAAAAGCCGTTAAATATTGGTTCATTTCTCGGTTAGCCTCTTGTCAAACTTGTTGGTATTCTTTGTTGGCTCATTCGTGGGCTAAATAAGAGTCTGATTCTTGCAATCATTCGTTACAAGTTGATAAACTAAGACGAGCCTCGGGCAGTTGAGATTTTAAACGGACAATAAAATCTTGCTCTTTTTGTTGGTAAGATTGAATTATCCTTTCTAATTTTCTGTGACGAAGTTCGGCAGAAGAAGAATTTTTCAGGTCAACTAACACACGAGAGCTAAAATTATCTCTGAGATCGTTTTCTTCTCCGTGTGAATAACTAGCGATTTGATTTTTAAGTTGTTGTAATTTACTTCATGACGTAGTGTTATTAATCGCTCATATTTCGTCAAGAAATTGACTTATTTGTTTCAAAGTTGCAGTCCGGTCGGCCAAAAATTCATCAATAACCTGATGGGAAACTTGGCTCGAATCCGGAATGTTTCAGTAGTCTAAATATTGAATTTCTTGGCTCTGGTCATAACTTAACACCGAACTTTTTACTCAATTCGAACCCTCTTTTCATTTTTGTTGGATATAGGTATTAATTAGATTTTCTTTGTAGACCAATAACTTATCTAGGGCAGAAGTAATTCTTTTTTCTTCCGTTTGGTCAAGCAGATTTTCCCAACTGGCCTCCGTGATAAGATTTTTTCAGTCGTTAACTCTTAATCAATGATTAATTTCGGTTTCTTTAATTTTTACTTTTGAGTTAGTGACTTTTTCTTTAACTTGTTGGTCAATTTCAGTTTGTAATTTGGCGGCTAAGAAATTTTTGAGGGTAGCCAAAATTAGTGTTAAGTCTAGTTCTTGGACGAGTAATTTTAGGTCGTTATCCTCTTGGCATTTATGATAGTGTTGGCCTAATTCATTAATTATATCTTCTAACTCAGCTCGGTTAGTTTGAGAAGTTATTTCTTTCACTCGGCTCAAAGTATCCAGTAAAATTTTTTTGTAGCTAAGATATTTTTCTTGGCCACAAGTAAAATTCTTGTAGCACTGAATTAATTCGGTTAAATTTACGACTTTTTTTATTTCCTCAGTCCAATAGCTAAATTGACTCTCGCCCAATTTATTTCTTAGTAAAATTAAGTCGTGGTCTATTTCAGCCAAAGTGTTGTAAAAAATGATATTCTGGATTTGGTCAGCATATTCGATAATTTCAGTTATTTCTTGCCCTCAATCCGAGATTTTCTGGTTTCAGGATACTTCCAAACTTAATCCGGCTTTCTGAATCTGAGTTAAATCTTGGTTAATTCGGGACTGAGCATTTTTCCGGGCAGTGTCTATACTTTGCTTTTGAATATTAATTAATTGTTGTTGTCGATTTTCCAAAATGATTTTTTTGTCGTGAAAAACTCGAACGGTTTCGGACAAGGTATTCGTAGCCGCAATCTCAGCACGGAATTGGTTTTTGACCACAATTAATTCGGGTCGAATCTCAGTGAAAAGGTTATCTCAGTTCCATATGGCTTCCTGACGCAAAAAAAGTCGCATGGCATCACCCTGATTAATATTAGTTCAGCCGGTAAAGTGTTCTCCGCAAGCAGTCTGCCCACGAATTTTACCGATTACTGTTTTTAGATAATCTTCTAATTTTTGGTTGCCCAAATAACTGATATGTTGCGAATAACTACTACTATTTTTGGGACTAATTTTTCCTTCGATTTTTTTCCTCGCGGCTGAGTCTAATTTATTAATCTTTTCATAAAATTCTAACAGGATAAAAATAATTTTGCAACTGGTTTCTCGGGCTAACGCTAGGGCTAATTTTTGTTGAAAAAATTGACTAATGGTTATTCTCTCTCTCTCTCTCTTCGTGTCTGTAATTTGGTGTCAATTATTTTTTATCTCATCCCGAAAATATTCTTGGGCTTGCTTGTGTTCGCTGTGGTAGATTTGGCTTTCTTGTAAGTAAATTGCCAACTGAATTATCTCCTCGCTGTATTCGTTATATTTTTTTCAATGCTCTTGGTCGTCTACGACCAGGGAAAAATTGCCTTGGCAACATTTTTTTCCTAATTCTTGGAATTTTTTTCCTAATTCTTGGAATTTTTTTCCTAATTCTTGGAATTTTTTTCCTAATTCTTGGAATTTTTTTCCTAAT